TTTTTTTTTTTTCTCAGATCTGTGATTTTACATCAACTGCATTCTTACAAGATTTTGTGCCTGAACACGAATTCGATGATTGTTTCCCTACTGTTCCGGCAGCCCCTCTTCGGCCCTTTCTGATGTTAAGAATCAGTACCATTTTCTGGCATTCTTGTTACCCTCGACAGGATTGGTCTGGCCACCAGCCGGCTTCAAGTTTATTTGTATGTTTTTATTTGTATGAGCTACTAGAATGCAAATCAATGAAGCACTTAAATGGGCACGGAATACAAACAAGATACAATACAAGAACGTGAAATATTATAAAATTTAATACAGGTACGAACAATTTATCACAAGCTTTATATAAAGTTAAATACATGCACATATATTGAAAATTAGAAAACTTTTATTTAGTTACAAATAAAAACTCAAATTGTTCAACTATATAGAAATACAACCATATAATTAGTCGAATGGAAAATCAAGCAAAACCAACGATAATAGAGAAAATTAAAATTCGATAATCGTGTGTATTTTTTAAATTACACATTTTAGAGCATATATCAACATTTTTTCGAATATCTATCTATCTATCTATATGACTATATCTATCTATATATATATATATCATATTTATGGAAAATGCTCCCTACTCACGGTGTGACATGTTAATATGTTCAGCGCTTATTTGACATGCACACATTGGTGATGTTAATATATTAAAAAAAATACATCACCAATGTGTGTATGCACATAAACGGTGGGCACATGTTCTACCTAGGTTCAGACATTCTATAAATATTATTTAGGTAACTTAGGTATTTTAATATCACTTGTACTAATATAACCTTTTAATTCTTTATAATTTTACATAGTGAGGCACTAAGCGACTAATATATCCATGACTTTTGATTTGTTTCCTTCAATTAGCTATTGAATTATAAATATATTTTAAAAGTTGACAACATTTGTATTTCTTATCGGTTTTACATATATAATATATCAAATCAATCATTTTTTCATGATCTTCGATTTGACATCCATATTGTATATATAAAATAAATAAATTATATTTATCTTTATAATAATAAAAAATAATAATATTTATTAAAATTTATTAAAAAATAAAATTATTTCTCAGTTGATATATTTATGTTTAATGTAGTTATATGTTGTAAGTTAAAAAAAAATATTATAATATAACACAAGTCACACAAATAAAACGTGTCATACTAATATATTATAATATATATATTTTCATAAAAGCTATTTATATTTTCAACTACTTTTTCTCCTTAATTTTATATTTTTAGAAAAAAATTAGCAAGCACCCGTGTACACGGGCGTTGTACTAGTATACTATTATAAAAGGTCGAGCGATTTTGTAAATTTATTAATTGCCTAAAAAATCATTAATTTGACTTATTTTTAATGACAAATTAGTAATACTCTATTACTCATATTATTTTATATTTTTAATTAACAAATGAACTACTTAAAAAACCCTTACTTTGACTGATTTTTAATAGCAACATAATAATACACTAATATTCACCATATCTTATATTTTTAAGTAATAGCTAATTTTTAATTAATTAAGTATAGATACACAAACAAAACTCAGAACATTCTAGATCTCCTAAAAATCAACTTCAATGGCTTCATACCATTATTGCCTCACGAATTTACTTTTCTTTTTTTTTTTTTTTTCAAATAACTGACAAACTGTTTTTCTCATATCTCCCAAAAATAAACCATAACAACAAAGTTTTGAAATGATACAATAAGAATAGTGTGTTCGTTTGTCCTATATTTATCGGAAATAAAATTTCTCGGCCGATACTTTAGCTTCACTAGCTGCTAGAGTAAAAGGCTATTACTGTATGCGTGTGATCACATGCACCATTTTCCGTACAACATCATCATCATACCCTGCCCCATCTCTCCACCAATTTCGACTTTTAAATGCATAACAGTACGAGACTCTTCAATGCGGGTAGATTAAATGCTATTAATGAAAATACCTACCCATAAGAAAAGAAGCACGACTGCACCGAGTTAAATGAGCTCCAGCCAAGCAACAATGGCTTCATCAGACCAATCTTTCACCAATTACCTAACCACGGTTAACGTGACCACCGATATAAACCGGTATTTTGGCAAAAACGTTACTTAGAGTGTAAACGTACTGGTCAGACTACCGGTATCCGGTATTATCGATAATATCGGCCGGTCCGGTACGGTATTTAAAACATTGGGTCCAGCCGTTATTATAGCCCACGTTCTCTGCTTCTAAAACCACAGTACTTAAGCAAGAGGCAATAATTGCTGATTCTAGCCAAGCAACAATGGCTGACCAATCTTTCCCCAACTACCTCAGTACCTAACCACGGTTAACGTGACCAAAAGCTAATTTGTTAAAATAATATACACGTGACAGAAATTTTTGGTTTCATAGGCGGACAACAACAATTTTAAAATCAACGATTCTATGTTAAAATATTATGTTTAAGGTTAGACACTTATAAATTGTTGGTAAGGATGTTGTATGTATCTAGAGGCTTCTTTTTTTCTATGTTTTAAAGTAAATAACACTCATATGGTATGGGGTCCATTTTATTTTATTTTTATTTTTTTGTTTTTTTTTTAATTTTGATGAGTCTCATTCAATGTGAGTATTATATACATTCTTATGTACAATATTATGTACGTAGAGGATTAGTACTCATAAATATAATACACACACCACACTGGCAAAAGAATATATATAAGAAAGAAGCAAAAGCGAATTAATTTTATAAGGTTTCTGATCTCCTTGTTCCTTTTTTTCTTTTCTTCTTTGAGCTTGTGTGTCTTGACGTTGCAGCTCCTCGATAAACAATGGCAGCTCCTCCTCCTCCTATACCAACAACAACCTCCGGAGTGATCACTGTCGAGCTGCTAAGCCAGCTTGTTTCAGTAGATTTTGTAAATGATACAATTTACTTCGTATGGGCACATGAAGTCATCGCAGCACTTAGAAGATATGGTCTTGAAGGTTATATCACTGGGGACACCCCTACTCCCGAAAAGTCCATTAAAGAGGTCAATGATGCAGGAGAAACCAGCTTTGTCCCAAGTCCTAGCTTCTCTCATTGGGAAAGACAAGATGAGCTCATAGCCTCTTGGCTCCTTTCTTTCTTGACTAAAAACACTCCTACCAGCCGTGTTGGTTTACGCTCATCAAAAGAGATTTGGAGCTGCTTGGGAAGCCTCTTTGGTAGAAAAAACGAAAGGATCCAATGGCTGAGAACCCTGATGAAGAAGGGGAATATGAAGGTTACGGAATACTTCGACAAAATAAAATGGTATTTTGATATGTTTGCAATGGCTGGAAACCCACTCACTGAAAGTGAGCAAGTTGGATACTTGATGGCTGGCTTAGGATCTGAATTTGATTCTGTCAAGTCTTGTATTATTAACTCATCTAGGCCTGACATGAAGTGCTCCTTAGGTAAAGCCTATTCTGTCATTGAAAGCTTTGAGGCAAGGATGGAATCCTTTGATAAAGTAGTGACTACTGATCTTGGAGA